TGTACGTGATTCGCCCGGACGGTGCTGCCATGGCGTTGAGCGTGTACTGCGACATGAACCACGGAGGAGGGTGGACCGTCTTCCAGAGGAGGAGAGACGGCAAAGAGAGCTTCGACAGGTGTGTCACCTTTACACACGTGAACACTGCAACAGTGCAAACAAATGTGTCATCGTGTGTGTGTGTGTGTGTGTGTGTGCGTGTGCGCAGAGCGTGGGTGGAGTACAAGCATGGATTCGGAGACCTCTTCTCTCCTGCTGGAGAGTTCTGGTTGGGCAATGAACCCCTGCACCATCTGACATCACAAGGTGCGTCTGTCTGTCTGTCTGTCTGTCTGGCAAGGTGTTTCTGCGCAGTGTACCAGGGGCACGAACAAAAGTTGTCCTACCATAGGCACGAGGTGTGTGTGTGTGTGTGTGTCTGATGCTTTCTGTGTTTTAGGGAACTATGACCTGCGCATCAACATGGAGGACTTTGAGGGGAACGAGCGCTACGCTGAGTACAAGAGCTTCAAGGTGGACGGCGAACAGGTGAAACTCAAGTAACCGCGGAAACGTCTCAGCTTTAAATTCAATCTGATGCTAACTTTACAGCCTCTCCCTGACCTTTGACCTCATATCGGTTTCTCATAACACTCGGTCTTATTTAGACTACGGTCCAGCAGCAGCATCAAGGTCACCGCCGTTCTGTTCCCAGCGGCGTTCCTCTCCCTCTCAGTGTTCCTGCTGAGGATAAACACAGATAAACAGCAGGGAGCTGCAGAATATTCCGGAGTGTCGGAGCGATGACGCGACGCTCCGGTCACCGCGAGAGGAGGAAGTAAGACGAGCTGTTCGCTGCTGTTTTAGGACCCACACCTGATCCTGACGTTACACCTGAGCCCAGGTGTGGCCTCAGGCCTTAAAAGGCTGTGATGATGCGTTGAAGGGGCGTGGTTAAACGTAGCTTCAGAACAATAACCTGCACTGCTGACTGCACGTCTTTGTAAGTGTGTGTGTAAGGTGTCTGATTGATCAGCTGGTGCTGAACGACCTGGCTGCGACGAGTCTGAGCATCAGATTTGTAATGGTGAGCTCCTGCAGCTCTCGCAGTTTCAGCGCGTGGTCGTCCTCGCCGTCATGGACCTGTGAGGTTCGCGTCAAACAGGGTTCGGCTGTAAATGGCTCCTCGCTGCAGGTCTGATCTCTCTGCTTTCACTCCCGTGTTCACCTGAAGGACCAGTACCAGTTACATCTGGGCGAGTTCACTGGGAACGCTGGCGACGCTCTGACCGACGCCCACGGGGCGGGACTGGCCAGTCCATGTGCAGACGGGGTGAAGTTCAGCACCTACGACCGGCCGAGCTGCATCGACGCCGACGTTCAGTGCGTCAGACACAGCAAGTCGGGCTGGTGGTTCAGCAGGTGAGACGCGCACGGCGACGGGTTTACTGCAGGCTTAAAGGGACAGTACACCAAAACTGAGCTGTAGAGTCGTCCACATGAGACAGAGCGACGGGGCCAAGCATCCCTCGCCAACAGCGTGACCGCGGGAAACTGACATCTTACTGATGAACGTGATTCAGCCTCAGCTGCTGCGTTTCTTTGTTCGTCTTTTGTTTCTGCAGTTTTGTGT